AATATAGATATTACAGAATATTAGATGATGCATAGGAACGTCCTAGAACTTTCTTGGACACAGATGTAGAACAAAAGAGAAAATTTTTAAAATGTGAAGGACATTTTCTGTATATATATGTATGTGTGTATGTGGGTGTGATTTTAGATGTATATGTATATACATGTGTGTATATAATTTTTTAGTAAAAAAATAAGTAAAACAAGAGAAATTAAAGCATGCAGGAAGATGGGACACCATTTTTATCATAAGACTGTGGCTCCACCAATCACCCATGCCATTTTATGTGCATGTTTCCACCCGTGGTGCTTGTCTCTGCCTGGACTAAATGCACTTATCACCCTTTGTGTTCTCTGAGAAGCAGATTCTGAGATGCAATTAGCATGCAGAATTCTTTTTATTCCCAGCTTTATTGGGGTATAATTGGCAAATAAAAATTGCACATATTCAAGGTATATGATGTAGTGTTTTGATACACACATATAGTAAAATGATTATCACAATATCACAGTCAAACTAATTTGCATATCTATCACCTCATGTGTTACTTTTTTGGGGGGGCAGTACGAATACTTACAATCTGCTCTCTTAGTAAATTTCAAGTACACAATACATTGTTATTAACGATTGTCACCATGCTACACATTAGATCTTCAAAGTGTATTCATTCATCCTACACCTGAAATTTTGTACCCTTGGGCCAACCTTTCCCCCTTCCCTCTACTCTGCCAAACCTACACTTCCAAACCCTGGTAACCACTCTTCTAATCTCTGCTTCTATTAGTTTGACTTTTTTAGATTCCACATAAGATTGTTATTAGAGAGTGTTCTTGGGCTTAAAACCTATGGAAGGGGCCAGGCACAGTGGCTCACACCTGTAATCCCAGCACTTTCGGAGGCTGAGGGGGGCTGATCACGAGGTCAGAAGTTCAAGACTAGCCGGACCAACATGGTGAAACCCTGTCTCTACTAAAAGCACAAAAATTAGCCAGACGTGGTGGGCGTGCCTGTAATCCCAGCTACTCAGGAGACTGAGACAGGAGAATCGCTTCAACATGGGAGGTGGAGGTTGCAATGAGCTGAGATTATGCCTTTGCACTCCAGCCTAGGTGACAGACTGAGACTCCATCTCAGAAAACAAATACACAAACAAACAAACAAAACCTATGGAAGGGAGAAAATGTAAGTAGGATTAGATAGAGAAATTGATTAGTGATTCGGTCTCAACAAAGTTGTCAGCCAACCCCACAGAATGTTCTTCAGCTGGACCAGATCTTCAGAATTGTCCCCGTTAAGGGTGAGAGGTCTGAACATTTATACCCTGATATTAATCAGTCACTGGGGAAGGGTTACCCTACAAAGAGGCATGCACTTAGCTGAAGTTGTTTGTTTATTGTTATAATTGAATCGTCAGCTGAGGACCCTCTTGCTGAACTCCCTGCAGTGGGGGCAGCAAATCTTACCTTACTCAAGGAGAGAGGGAGTGATTCCTGGCATTTACCAAGCACTTCCTGTTTTATACAATGTAAATTTCTGTAAATATCCTAGGAATCAGAGTAAAATATTATCATATCTATAAAGGTTCCCCTGATTTCTCATGTGGAATTGGCTATCTCTTTTTCTATGCAATTAATCATGTACAAACATACATCATGAACTTTTAAAAACTGTATTACCATCCTTTTTTAATATTGGTGTTTCCCACTTACACTCTAAATTGAAGACAAGGCACTATGACTTACTCAACTTTGTATTTTATCACCTAGCATAAGGCCAAGTACACACAAGTGTTCAATAAAAAGAGATACATGAACAAATAGCAATAAAGGATTCTGAATATGTTAGTCCTTACTGAAAATAAATTAAAATAGAACATTAAGAAAATTCCATAGAATAAATAAAAGGGGAAAGTTTGTCCTTTGAAAATAGCATACGTTGAAGAGAATGAGCAGCCCACGCTGTGTAGTGGCTGTTAAATGTCCTATAGAGTACGGTAACGATATATTTGATTAAATTAAGCAAAAAGTCAATCAATGACTAGTATATGCCAGGTAGTGTAGTAGGAATGTGGAAGAATAAGTATTTTTAAAAGTGGCACAATAGTGTCTATCCTCTAACAAGAAAAAATAAAGCAAGGGACAAATTAAAAGAGGATAGGTTTTACACAACTCTCATAAAAAAAATACAATTTTTTTCATGGGAAAGAGTTCAAAGAATGAGATAATATAACCAATTAGAAAAATTAGAACAGACTTCATGAAGGTTATGGCATTAGAACTTGGTCTTGATTTTTTTATAAGCGAATGTGATCAGTTTGGACATGTGTCTAGTTCAGGGACTCTGAGAAGCAGTGCCAAGAGGGAATTAAGCGTGGAAAAGATTTGTAGGACAAAATATCTGTGAGGAATATAGGGAAATGTAGCAGGAATAGGCAGGGAGAGACCATAGGAATGAATGCAGGCAGGTAGAAGAATTGAGTAAGAAGAGTCTCAGATGACAGTAAAAGCCTGAGAAAATGTTAGCATGTTAGCAGGCTGATGGGGAATCCTCAGAGCAAAGATTGCACATTCCAAGACCGCCACCATCAGTCACTGGCTGGGAGCAGCCCAGGAAGGACATGGCCCTGGTATGAATGTTGTGCTGGATCACAAAGGAGGCAGCTGAAGGCTGTCGGCATCCCTCACTGTGAGCTCTCTCTTGAAGTGAGATTTGAATAGTGCACGCCCATGGATGTCACAGGTGACGAAAGGAAACATTTTAGGAGAAGAAATATGTAGCTTAAGTCATGGGGACATGCAGCTGAAATCTTTGGCTGATAAATATCACCATGGCCTGTGAGCTGCCTGTGGCCTCTACACTAAGCAGTAAAGGCAAGCAATATTCTAAGTGCCACTGCTATTTTATTTATTTTGTTTTTGTTTTATCAATTTGTTTATATTTTCCTTTTTTCTCTTGCACCAAGAACATAGCCATGTGCTCAACAGCCAACATGGCTTTCTAATGTTGGTCGAAAAAAATATAAAGGCCAAGGTTAGCTTTTTCTCACCCATGGCACTCAATTATCGTGCGTTATCACCTTCTTATCTCTCTAACTCATCATGCTATGCCTTTCTCACCAAGAATGTGAGCCTTTCAGTCAGTTTTATTACATGCTGTTTTCTAACATAAAGTGTTTTCAGTGCCAAAAATATTCTAAAAATGTTCACATATGGGTATGTTGGTAAAATATCTGTTGCTGTGTCTCAGCTCTAGAATTTAACAACCATCTACAGAAAATCAGATTTTGACAGGTGGCTTATCAGTTCACTTCTAAAGAGGTGCTTTCCCTGAAAGACAACAAGAAGCACATGGCAGGACATCCTGAATACCCTTTGTAAAAATGTTTTGGCAATAACGTATATGTATAATTTCAAAGTATCCCTGGTGACTGTGGCAACCTGACCAAGGGCAGGCGCTGGGCTTCAATTTGTTATTTCTCTCAGCTTCCTCTGCAAATATGCTCCATGTCCTTAAAGCTGTGAAAATTTTCTCTAAAAGTTCTGTGATGACCAATTGTGATAATGGAATGAGAGACTTTGCTCCAATAACAGCATCCTGCATGTCAAAGACTAACTTCTTTGCTCACCCTCTTGATTATCTGTCAGCAGTGGAGCATGCTTTAGGAGGGCAGAATGCACATTGCCTTAACATTTTTACTTAATGAATTGGAGAATTCTGTACTGCACGTCTCTCAAGCAAAATCAACAGGAGGCCTGAACAAAGCCAGTGATTTCTAACACTGTATTCTATGGTACCAGGTGATGGCCCAGAGCATACAAAAGGGGAAAACAAATGGATGGGTCAGAAATTCCTACAGAAAAAAAAATGAGTGCTGGAGTAGGGAGCGTTATGTGGTGTGGCACGTAATCTGTAACCACCAGGTTTAAGATCTGGGTCCTCACTGGGCATTGCAACGTGTCTCCTGAGTTTTCCTGATACAGAGGTCAGGCAGAAAAAAACGTAGGGTGAACTGGAGATGGTAGAGTAGGAAGAGTTGTATGAAAGACTAAAGAGAAGGTTGCTGGCGTCAAACATTCTTCTCACACTGGCATCTTAGAAATGAACAACTTATAACAAGCATATGGGGTAGGGATAGGAAATGACAGAATGAGATGGCCTCTAAACAGTCTGTATCTTGTAAGCCTTTAATTTCTATCAAGACTTTTCGTCTATGTGTTTTAATTTTATTCTTAGCTATGCTTATCTGTCATTCTTTTTCATCAGAAAGGGGAATTCCAGAACCATGTACTGAAATTATACTTAATACTGGAAAAAAAGGACAATATTTAACGGTCAGTATATACTATATAGTATCAGAGATTGAAATTCTGTTCTTTTCCAGGAGCAATTTTCACTGTCTGAGAGAAAACAGTTCTCCCTTCTACTGGGACTTGAACTAAAGACTTCGAAATCTCAAGGCACTTGCTCCTTTACAGGGCCTCAAAATAGTTTACTGGGAATAAATGAATCTCTGATTAATGTAATTTATATTAGAAATAGCACAGATGTGTCCTGAATTTCTAGGAGAAAGATGAATCAACATTCATTGTCTATTATAAATTCTGCATTATTTAGGCCCTCACACTGAAGAGAGCAAGGCCTTTGCTCACTGAAGAGAAAAGTCGTGCTGTGTGGCATACTATTAGATTTGGGCCAAGGTAAACTGCTGATTATCCCAACTTTCTAAAGAGAACTCACAATCGGATTTCCATGCTGCTTTACCCCGTCTTGTCCTCACCCATAAAAATGACTTTGACAGAACAAAGAACTAAAACTAAATGGATTGAAGTTTTAGTTATCTTTTCTCATTTTATATATCCTCTTAAGTTTTGTTTGTGTTCTTCCATATTTTGCCTTTCTGTTCAAACATCTTTTCTGAGTGGCCTTTGCCATTGGAGTACTATTACGTGGAATCTAGAAAATAAAGTCCTATACCACAAAAGATTCAAAGTGGAAATAGTTTTGAATATATAGTTCTTCTCTTATTAATCACACACTTAGTGTTCCATAAATGTATGACTTAATAATTTCCCACCACCACCTCCACTGCCATTGCCGTCACCTCTCAAAATTTCTCTATAATCATTTACTCCTTTATATAATTTTTAACTTGTTCACTTCTGAACTCTCAAGACTCTTGTACCAAACTGACAAACTGATTTTTCATTGAGAAGCAAATATATAGCCTTGTCCTTTGCAATTCTCTGTTTCTAACTTTATATATACTCTATAGAAAAACAGCTCTAGAATTAAAGAATATTAAGATATTCTTTACTAGCAAAATGTTTTCATCTCAATTATGATATATAACAATTCGATATTATGAAAATGATACATTTCTTCTGAGGTAGAGGTCCTGTTTAATATTGAACTAGAAAGATCACTGGAGGAAATGGCAGTGGACTCCACCATGACAAAGGGACCAAATGCCAGAAGATCCAGATGAGGGAGAGGCCAGTACCAGTTGGAGAGATAAAAAAAAGCTCCCTGAAGGAGAGTGTTTTGGTTTGGTCATTGAAGCATGGATAGAACTTGGTCAGCTTCGAGCTGCTAGATGCTGCCCAGGGAATGGTAGTTGGAGACAAGTGAGCACAAGAGCAAACAAGGAAGCAGAGTGGTGAGGAAAGTTAACCAACATTTTCATTCAGAAAGTGCAAGCTAATAAATGAGTCCTCAGTGCTATAATCTACAAGTGTGTTTTTGAGATTGCAGGCAGCTCATGTCATCATTTTGAGCTAAAATGGAATTAAGTTGCATGGTCTAAGAAACTCATCATTCATTCTTTCTTTCAGAATCTTTTTCTCTTTTTACCTTTTAGAAGATGTTTTAGAATTTCATTAATTTCTGAACATGAATATTATTATTTAAAGTCATTTACTTATTCATTTATTTCTTGACATTAAGTATTGAATACCTAATGTATTTTTGATACATCTTAATAGAGATATGCCTGGAGAAATACTTGAAAATAGTTGTTTAAGTAACTTAAATAATTATACTTCAAACTATCCTTTATAAAATAAAATAATGGCCCTATACTTCTTACATAACAAAACACATAATTTTTTATCACTGAAAAATTTCTGTTGGTGAAATCAAAATATAATATTTGATACTGGATAACTCTATTTTAAGTTTCTCAATTCTCTAGAGACTTTCTTCATATTGTCATTTTGTTAATCAAGATTTTATAAAACTCTATACCTGATCATTCCAATATCTGGATGAGCTGTAGGTCTATCTGTTTCTATTATTTAACGTTTTGATTTTCTTACTTTCCTGTTACATTTTACTTGCATTCTGAGTGTACTTTATCAGAAATTACAGAAATGCTGATCAATGTATCTTCTTCCAGAAAAGTTGTACTCCCCCCTTTTTTTTTAATGACCAAAAGTTAAAATACAGAAAGTTAGAGTAATTTTCATGTGGAACTGAGGAAATTTTGAAACGAGAAATTTTCTATTTCCTGTTTATCTAACATCTATCATAGATCTCTAACTGAAAGTTTGATTGAGATATATATATATACATATATATATCTATATATCTATATAGATATATATAGATATATAGATATATATACTTTTTTATTACACTTTAAGTTCTGGCGTACATGTGCAGATTGTGCAGGTTTGTTAACTAGGTATACACATGGCATGGTGGTGGTTTGCTGTATATATATATTTATTTTTTCACAGTACTTCTCTCATGGATCTTAAACCACTTTCCCAGGGGCTACCCAGCATTGTGAAGACTGTCAAAAGCCTCACTTGGCTTCTCAGCAACTCTGCTGCTCTGTTCGCCTTTCCTCTTGCTCCTCCGACAAATCTTCAAATGTCTTGAAAGGAAAAGCACTATATAACCTCCGTGTGTTTCCTGTTTCTCCTGAACTTCAGCCCCTCAAAACTGGCTGTTTGGGAAGATGGAATACCAAATTTTGCCTCTCCAGTAATATGACTGCTAAAAACTTGGCATAGGTTTCTAGTCCCTTAGTTACTGCTTTCTGCTTAGCTGTTTTGACTTTCTGGTCTTGCGTTATTATTTATGAAGAAACGTTTTGAGGCAAAACAGTACCATAATGTGCTTCCCTACTTGTGTTATTTTGTTCAGGCTGTCTTAAGAATGTACCATATACTTGCTAGCTGAATGGAAGTTAGTTATCTTATAGTTCTGCGGTATAGTGGTTTAAGATCAAGCAAATGTGGCAGGATTGATTTCTCCTGAGAGTTGTGAGGGAATGATACAGGGCAAGCAAGCCCCAAAATTGGGACTTAGTTTGGGAGAGTTCTTGGCTGTGTTCTGGAAAGAATTGAAGGGCGAGCCAGTGGTGTCTGACGGCAGCCTTTACTGAAGCAGCAGTGTTCAGCAGCAGCAGAGGTACCGCTCCTTGTGGAGTCAGGCTGCGCCACGAGCAACGTGCCCAGAGTAGCAGCTCTGGGCCAGTTCTGCAGTCATGTTTACACCCATCTTTAATTACATGCAAATTAAGGGACAAGTTATTTAGAATTTTTCAAAAAAATTGTGTCATTTTTGGGTCATTGCCATGGAAAGGGCCAATACCTCCTGGGTGTTGCCATGGCAATGGTAAACTGACATGACACTGATGGGCATGTGTTACAGAGAGGTGCTTTTGCCTCTTCCCGGCTAGTCTTCAGTCTGATATGGAGCAAGTCTCTGGCCCTACCACGGGAAGAATGTGTTTCAGGCCTCTCTCATAACTTCTGGTTATTTTCTGCCAATCTGGTATTCCTTGGCTTATAAAAGCATCACTCCAATATCTGCCTTCATTTTTGCATGACATTCTCCCCATGTGTGTGTCTGTTTTTAAACTTCCCTGCTTGTTTCTAAACTTCCCCTTAAGAACAACAGTTATATCAGGCTAGGTACCCCTCTTATTCTCAAAGGAATCCATCCGAATTGAATTACATTTGCAATGACTCTATTTTCAAATAAGTTCATATTGGGAAGTACTGAGGATTCAGACTTTAACACATGATTTGAGGGGACGTAGTTCAACCTCTAAACTACCCTCAGAGCTCTGTAATTCTCAAGGCCTGTCTCCTTGGGTAGGTTTCTACAGTCTTCAGACAGATGTTTTGCATTTTTTCCAACTTTTCAAATTGCTATTGACAGTATGATTGATCTGATACCAGCTGGTCAATAATGACCAAAAATGGAGTCTCGGGTTTGATCTGAAATTGGTAATGAGTCATAAAAGTATCATGCTCTCAAGCTTCTCTTCAATAATTTGACTAACCAAGGGTGGGAACAGAATTGAGAATGTCTGTCCTAATGCCTCATTAGTTTCCATTTTACTTAATAATCTTTCAATCACTTTTGAATTTGACTTATCTAAGTTAGTTTGAAGGTCATAGATGAGATTGTTACACAAAAATCAAAGAGAAAGGAGGATGGCTAAAACGGCATTTAAGAGGGTCCAGGTCTGTGCAGCTATAGAAAAAACACACATTGATCAGTTATTAGTGAAGGCTAAACGTTAAGGCTATAGAGTGAGTGACAGCTTTAAAGTTTTCCAAAATTCACCTAGGAACTTGTATGACTAAAGATTTTGAAGTAGTTTCCAATTTTTATCACAACAGCAATAGCGGTAAGCAATGTCAGTTGAAGTACATACAACAAAAACAACAAAGAATTTCCACCACCCAGTAAAAAGTTTCATTTTATATTCTAAAACAGCATTACTATGGATATCATAGATAAGTGATAGTAGCATTGGATTTACCTATTTCCTTATTTTTCATGTTTTGTTTGGTTATATCAGTTCAGAGCTTTTTGATTTGTTATATTCAAGGGAAGTCATTAGAATATCACCATATTATTTCCTCATAACACATTTTTTATCTCGTGAAAATTGATCCATATGTTTTTCAAGAGGTACCCCAACTCTTGTAACATCAATGCTTGATAAATGTTACATCCTTTCCCATTTTCTTCATATACTATGTGTTTCCTTTTTAAGACTCCATATTCGCTTGATTTATTGCTGCTTCATATTGAACAAAATTGTATATTGAGGGGCTTAAGTAGTCAGGTTTTTTTTTTTTTTTTTAAATCACAGATGCTGACTTCAAAATCTAATTATAGTGTTTTTGCTGAGTAAAATCATGGGTGATTTTCTTTTTACACTATGGGTTAAAATATAGCATTCCACAGACTTCTTATAAACATTTAAGGAGATAAGTAAATTTCTTAGAATGCCTCCTATATGTTAAATGACCAAACAATGAGACTTATTATTATTAATAAACAGAAATAGCTCAAACTCACATTTCCTACTGCACTGAAGAGTGAATTCTCTATTTGAGACACATATGCTTTCTCAGTTTCCAAATACACACAGACACACACCCACACACAAAATCAGACTATATATGCATAGATGCATTTAGAAATATGTACATGCACATGTATATGTACTCATACATAAATGTATATGTGCACTTACCTATGTATGTATGTGCATAAATATGTGGATATATTTTTTAAATTTTATTAAATTTAATTATATTAGGGAAAAAAATCACGAAACATTTATCTTGCCAAAAAGTTAAAGATTTTAATGTGGTCTAAAATGATATAAAAGAAAAGCAGAATTGTTAAAGCTTTAAGGAGAGGAATGTGAATGAAAGTAGGGTAAGAAATGTAATACTGAGAGAATTTTTATAAGAAAGTCTTCACTGACTTTACTGTGATTCATTTTTTATTAAAGCATAGATTTTTAAATGTTGTATTATTGCTAATATTTGGTATACCATCAATGATGCATTCTTTAAAGGTTATTCTTGTTTTATTCAGCATGATTTTTAGAGATTTGCTGAATCCTGAAATATTTTATTTCTGTCTTCCTTTATTCCAAAAAAATAAATTGGAGGCAAAAATCCTTTGATATAATAACATAGAATTGACAGAGTATTGATTAATAAATCTCCTAGGAACCTATTTTAAAATTAAAGCCTTTTAATATACAGCAGAATGAATTTAAATGAGGGCAATGAGTGAGAACCACAAATAATTTCTTGCCTATGACAATTATTTTATAAAGATATTACTGAGGAATGATATTGAACACAGCCATATACTCATTCATCATTGATACATTGTAGATTCTTATGAGTCTATAAGTTAAAATACTGGTTCTGAATAGCTTTGATATGGTATTCTAACTTATTTAGAGAAGAAAAAAAGACATAATGAAGCATGCTTATCAGCTAAATATATTTTCATTTACCACGTTTTTACAAAAAATACAAAAATTAGCCCAGTGTAGTGGTGAATGCCTGTAGTACCAGCTACTTGAGAGGCTGAGTTGGGAGGATTGCTTGAGCCCAGGAGGTCGGTGTTTCAGTGAGCCACTACACTCCAACCTAGGCAACATAGTGAGACCCTGTCTTAAAAAGAAAAAAAAAAAAACAATTATTGTTAGCCATACTGCTATGTAATGAATCACAAAGAGAATAGACAGGGAATTCTATCTTTTGTCAAAAGTTATGTCCTCATCTAGCCATACAAAGAAAAGGAAAAACTAGATGTAGATCATACTTGGAGATATCTCTTATAATTATCTGTATCATGTTATAAACTTTGTACAGAGGCATTTACCCTTTTTAAAAACTTAATCATATATCTCATTAGTATGGTAACCAGCCTAATGAGGTAAAGTCTTTTAGTTAAAGAGATAAAGTGTAACATTAGAATGTGTGATTGTTAATTTTAGGTGCCAACTTGATTGGCTCACACAGCATGCCCGGATATTTAGCTATCATTATTTCTGGGTGTGTCTGTGAGGGTGTTTCCAGATGAGATTAGCATCTGAGATCTGTGCACTCAGTAAAGTATATTGCCCTCCCTAATATGGGTGAGTATCATCCAATCTGTTGAGGGCCTGGATACAATAAAAAGCAAAAAAAAAAAAAAAAAAAAAAAAAAAAAAAAA